GTTCTATATGCAAATAATACAGATGGTATATGTTTATCCCAATTTTCTTCTCCTAATTTGGCTAATCCCTCGCATAAAGTTTTATTGAATCTTTCGACCAAACCATTTGTTTGTGGCCTATATGGTGTACTTAATCTATGATTTATTCCACATCTTTCTACTAATTCTTCCATCATTTTATTGTTAAAATGAGTCCCTCTATCGCTAATTATTTTCTTTGGACATCCATGTCTACAAATTATGTCACTCCAAATAAATTCTACTACCTCTTTCGCTGTAGCTTCTTTTAGTGGTGCGGCTTCGGGCCATTTCGTAAAATAATCCATTACTACTACAATATACTTATTTCCCTTTTCTGTCTCTTTTAATGGTCCAACTATATATATACCAATCATATCGAAAGGTTCATTTATCTTTATTGAAGTCAAATCATTCTTTCCTCTTGGTTTTCCTCTCATTTGACAATTCCAACACGTTCTTACATATTCTTCTACATCTTCTTTCATATTTTTCCACCAATAATTTTCTTTTATTCTATCTAATGTCGCTTCTATCCCAAAATGTCCTGATAATTCATTATCATGCATCATGTACATCAATCCCTCGTATTCATAATCTCTAATTACTCTAAATTTGTTTTGTCCTTTCACTCTATATAGAATTCCCTCTTTCAATTCATATTTATTCTCCTTTTCGATATTGTCAATTATTCTCTTGTAATTATTTTCTTCCATAATACTTCTTTAGTTGATTTCGCTTCTAAATTTGTTATTTTCGTTATGTGTTCTGTATTTTTAGTTCTGTGCTCTTCTCCATTTCTCCACCTCTTTAAATACTTTTCTCCAACTACTATTGTCATTTTTAACTTTTACTCGACTGTATCTTTCGGTATCTTTGTACACGCTCTGATTTTCTTCAAACATTCTAACCATGTCCAAATATTCATCCTTCTTTAATGTTGGATATGATGATTTTTCCGTTTTCTTTGTTTCTCTTCCAATGTAATTTTTCCAACATACGTCGCAATCTTTTTCTAAAAATATCACTATTGATTTATCTATAGTTTCTTTCAATCTGAATATTTCTTTTTCCATCTCATGATTTCCATGCGGAGTAATTAATCCTCTGTCAAAACTTTTCGTCTTTTGATAATAATATTCACAATATGGTGATTTGTCTAAAATTATTATATCTGTATCTTCATCATATTCTAACATTCTTCTATTTATTTGTTCCACTACTTCTTTTCTGAATTTCCATTCTGTATTCATCTTTGATTCGTGAAATTCATCTTTATCTTTTCTTCTTCTTTTATAAGTATTGAATCTTACTTTTAATCCTTGTTTTTCCCATTCTTTAATTAAATTTTGTACTATACTTGTTTTTCCTAATCCATCTACTCCATCAATTATTACTATTTCTGGTTGATCCTCTACTATCTTTAATAACCTACTTAATGCGTCGGCATTCGTATTTTCTTTTCCTGACCTATGTATTACTTCAAAATTATATTGCTGTAATTCCATTACCCATCTTGCTCTTTTTCCTTTTGGTATCTTTGCATTCATTAATCCTTTCAATGCACTGTGATCTGTTATTACTTTAAAATTTCTATCGATAAAATATTTATGAAAATGTTGAATTCCCCAAACTATTCCTAAACATTCCAATTCTGTTATCGGATAATTTTCTTCTGCTGGTAATAAGCTTCTACTCGCATATGCTATTACTACTTCTTTTCCCTTTTCATCTTTTTGACTTAATACTGCACCTAATCCTTTTCCTGATGCATCTGTTATTAATAAAAATTCTTTCTTCCAATCTGGATGTCGTAATATTGGATATTGTATTAACTTTTCTTTCAATCTTTCAAACGCTTCTTGTTGTTCTTTTCCCCAGATAAAAGGTATTCCCTTCTTTCTCAAATTGCTTATTGGTCTTGCTATCTTTGAAAAATTCTTCACAAATTTTCTGTAATATGAACAAAGTCCTAAAAATGATCTTACTTCTTTCACTGTTGTTGGTGCATTCATTTCTTTTATCTTTTCTATCTTATTATCGTCTGGCCTTAATCCATCATTTCCTACTATATGTCCTAAAAATTCTATGTTTCTTTCCAAAAATCTACATTTCTTTAATTTTATTATTAAATTATTCTCCTGTAACTTCTTTAATACTTTTTCCACATGTTCCATATGGTCTTTTAAATTTTCTGAATATATCATAATATCATCGATATATACTACTACAAAATCGTTTATGTATTCTTCTAATATTTCATCCATTAATCTTTGAAATGTTGCTGGTGCATTCGTTAAACCGAACGGCATTACATTATACTCAAATAATCCTTTTGAACATACAAATGCTGTTTTTTCTTTATCTTCTTCTTTCATTTCTACTTGATTAAATCCTGCCGCTAAATCTATACTAGAAAACCATTTTGCTTTCCTGTATTTATCTAGTAATTCATCCATTCTTGGTAAAGGAAAACTATCCATTATAGTTATCTTGTTTAACTTTCTGTAATCAATACAGAATCTATATTTTCCCGTTTTCTTTCCTGCTAATGTAACCGGTGAACTCCATGGACTTTTTGATTTCCTTATCCTTCCTTGTTTTAACAATTTATCTACTTCTTCGCTTATAAATTTTGCCTTTTCATCTGTTTCTTTATATCTTCTCTGCTTTATTGGTTCTATCCCATCTTTTATTTTTATCTCATGTTGCGCTGCTTTTGTTCTTTCTTCTATTTCCTCGTCGTACTCTAAGATATCTTGGTATTCTAATAGTAATTTTACCATATTTTCCCAAATCGGTTCTTCTACTTTTTCTATACTTAGTTTTTGCATAAATTTTTCACTTGGTTCGAGCATCTTTTCCGTCTCTCTCTCTTCAGAGCCAAGACTTTCTATTTAAAATTCTGGTGCATTCTGAATACCTCTCCTTCATCGTTACTTTCATATTCTTCATCGTCCTCGCTCTCCTCACTTTCATATGCTACTTCTCTTTCATATCCTACTGGAATAATTATTATTTCTCCCTGTTCTTCTATTCTTAAGGTATGATCTTCAAAATTTATTTTTGCATTATACAACTTCCATATATCATTTCCCAAAATTAGATCTTCTTCTTCTGAATTGATCACTTCAACTTCTTTTAATATCTCTAATTCGTCTTTGTACCTCAAAGTTATATTTGCTTTTCCTAATGCTGCTATCTTTTGTCCATTTGCTATTGTACATCTAAATTTACTTTTTCCAAATATAGGTATATTCAATCTTCTTCTTAATTTATCTGTTATCACACTTACTGCTGCTCCAGTATCTATTATTACATTCACTAATTGATCTTCAACTTCTAATTCCGTTCTCATTGCTGTAGTTCTTTTTTCCTCATTTTTCATAGTTCCCACCGAGTGTAGTCAATTTTTCTCGTCTATACTTCTTGGTCTATATGTCTCAATCGCTTATGATACTTAGGATTCTCGCTTATTAATTGTCCATATGTTATATTCGCTCTACAATTTTTCACGTCTCCCACGATGTCGTAAGGTGGTATTCCGTCAGTTAATTTTGGTCCATACTCTCTGGGTTTTGTTGGTCTTCCTGCTTCTCTCCATTTTCTTAGTCCTTCAGTTGGGTCGTAATAATCTTGTCTTTTATTGCTCCATTTCATTTTTCTTGATCCTATCGTTCTATCCCCATTCTGTTCAGTTCGTTCAGGTATATAATTTGGTGCCGTTGTACCAATTGGTATTTCTCTATCATCCATTCTATTTCCTGCTTCTCTTAATTCTTCTTGTAAATTTCCTTCTTCATTATTATTTTTATATCCCACTGTTGGATCCGTCCTTCTTGTTTGTCTTCTTGTTTTTACCGCGTTATCTTTTGCGTACAATTCATTATGATAATTTAATTCCCTATCTTCATAATCATCGTAATAACCTTGTGTATAATACATTTCGTTATATTGTGGTTCCTCGTATCCATATTCATCATAATCATATTTTTCTTGGTCATCATATTCGTCCATCATATTCACTTTTGCATTCCTTCTTTTCTCCGGACACTCTCTTGAATAATGACCAACTCTACCACATGTATAGCATGTCGGTACTCTTTTTTGGAATGACTGATTTCTTTGAATTGGTTGATTTCTTTGTATTGGTTGGTTTCTTTGTGGCAATCGCCTATGACTCTGACTCGCTAAATTTCTTAATCTTTCATTCTCATCTTCTAACATCTTAATTTGTAACTTCGCAAAACTGCTTGCTAATTCATCTACATTTACCTCTTTATTATTCCTTACATTCCCTTGAACAATAGGTTCTTGTCTTCTTTGTTCATCATTAATTACTTTTGGTTGTACTTTATCTGTTAATGCTTCTAAACCTCTTTCTACGTTTTTTGCTATCTGAAATGTTGCATTTAAATCTGCTGGATTTCCCATTACTACGTCCTTAGTAAAATCCGGTTTTAATCCTCTAATAAAAATCCTCTTTTGCTGATTTGCTGCTACTCTGCATCACCTCCCACTCTCTTTAACATATATTTAAATCTCGTAAGGTATTGAGTTACATTCTCGTCTCACTGTCTAATCTTTTCTAATTGTTCTAGCCATCTATCTTTAATTTCATCACTCGCATACTTTCCAATTATTCTTCTTCTTAATCTTAAATTATGATCCCCATTAACATTCCAATCGGCAATATTTACTCCTTCAGTTTTTAACCAATCTGCTGCTCCTCCCATTAATCTCGCTTTTGCTATTATAAATCTCTGTGCATCATCATTCCCTAAACCATTCGCTGTAAATGTCTCCTCAAATTTATCTGCCCATTCTTCTGGATCTTCTCCACTGGTACCATAAAATGCTGGTATTTCTACAATAGCTCCTCTATTTGCGTTTAAATTTCCTATCGCATTAGTATTCGCTTGAATTTCTCCTTGTAATCCTGTCAATGTTATTGGTGGTACTGCTAAATTGTTCCAATCTGGCCCAATATCATGACCATACATAGTACTTGTTACTGCTCTTAGATCTGCCCTGACTTCATCTCTTGTTGCTGCCATTGTTATCTTTGGTTTTATTGGTGGTACTGGTATTATTGGTATTATAGGTGTTTTCTTCAATTCTTTGTTTTCCTTTTTGCTTTTTGATTTTTTACTTGAGCCAATTTCGGGTCCTTTTATATCCTCTTCCACTTCATCTTCATCATCTGTTGGATTTTCTTCTTCAATATCTTTTTCACATTCTATGCAAGTTTCTTTTCCGATTTTAAATTCTTTCTTTAATCTTTCAATTTCACATCTTTCGCATTCTTTTGTGTTTTCAACTCTCCATTGTAATATTCGCTCATCTAATTCTTCATCTTCAAGATTCCATATTGTTAAATATTTCTTCATAAATTCGTACGTTGTTATTATCTTTGCGGTTACTCCAAATTTTCTTATTCTTTCAATTTCTGTTATTTCTACATCATATCCCATTCTTTTTAAATCCATTCTAATTATTTCTTCGAATATCTTTGTTGTTTCTGTTTCTTCAACATTATTAGATTCACTAGATTCATCAGATTCCTCATCTGACATTTCTTCATTCTTACTAATTGGTAAATTTTCTTCTTCCCCATCGTCTGTTTCTGTTATAGTATAACTTCTTGGTGTGTCATCACTATCTGTTTCATCTATATTTAATTGCTCAAACCCCCTAATCTTATCATAAACTTTTCCAACTATTTCCTTGCTAATTTCCCAACCATGTTCACGAACTCTTATGTGCATTGTGTGCAACATTAATCTAATTTTTTGTTTGAACGCTTCTATCTTTTCTGTTGACTCATCTTCTTTTAATTCAGCATCTTCATATAATATATTTTTGTATCTTCTAATAGTGCTATCTTTACATTCTATAAAATCTGTTATAGCTTCTTTATACCACTCATAAAATTCCCTAAATCTTATATTTACATCCCAATCTTCCAAAATATAACCATATCTTATTAATTCTTCATTCCCTATCAATCTGTCCATTGTTTCATCTTCTTTATCATTTTCTATACAATCTCTCACGATAACTATTATTATTATCTTTAATCCTTTATCTCTTAATACTGGTTGTTTCAAGTATCTTATCGATTCGACCATTACATCAAATGCATCTCTAGTCCTTCCTTTTGTATAATTATTTCTTTCTTCACTATCTATACTAAATAAATTTAATAACGCTCTTATAGTTTCTGCGTTATAATCTTTTATCGTATATTCAAATTTTTGCAATATTTTCCAAAATTTCTTGAAAACTTCTGGTGTATCTCCTATTGGATAACATATTTCACATGTTATATTTTCTCCTCTTAATTCGTTTATATCTACATTCCTGATATTTTCATCGTGTCTTAATTTGTGATTTTCGTAATCAACTCTCCAAGTTTCGTACCATTTTATCGTTGCAATCGTTCATCCAGAATCTTAACTAAAATCTCACCTCCTCTTATATATATATATTTCACTCTTATCGTTTCTACTTTCAATCTTCTAAACATTCTTTTATCTTTAAGTAGATTGCTTCTTTCAATCTTTAGATTCCATCTTTCGGTTCTATATATTTACTATGCCATATTTTACTATTAATTTTTACTGCTCCACAAAGTTTATCTTTTGTCACCGAGATCTATAATATCACATTCTAAAATTTATCTTCTATCACCGAGATTCATAATTTCACATATCACATATCACAAACTCCAAAATTTTCATAACTTTTAAAGTTTGCAAATTTTCAATCTTTCTTATCGTCCACATAAATCCTTCTTACTATATATTCTATATTATATAAATTAATCTATAACACACAAAATGTCGTTCTTTTCAGATAAATATCCTTCTTTTCAAATAAATGTTCCTTTTCAAATAAATATTCTTTTTCAAACAAATGTTCTTCTTTTAAATAAATGTCCTTCTTTTCGGATTTTACTCTATTATTAAATACTGCACGTAATGTTCATTATACGGCTCGTTAATGTGTAAATATCCTTCTATGTTATCTTCTTTTAACAGAACATTGTAATGAGAACGTGACCTAGCACACTACACCAGGAACCCTCATCTGAAATGTAGCCTAGGACCTGTAACAATACAACGTATCCGTCTTCTCCTCCTTCGTTGGCCGACTCGTCTCTTAACGGGTGAATCTAACCTTCCAAAATCCAGTTTCAAAAGTCATCAGCTATCCATAAAACTCATCTAAACCAACTTATCTTTCCTCAAATTGGTGGACCTATACTGGGCTTATCTCTATCTTTTTCCCATTGGGTAAAAGCATGATAGTTTACAGGTTTGTCCTATTTTATTCTTTCAATATTTCTTGATAGTAGGTGTCTTTACAATTATCATTCCCAATCCCCAAAGCAATTTGCGCATTATTGAGCTGGGTATCCAGATTTGAAGTAACCCATACGTTATAATCTTTAATGTCGAAGAATAAAAGTTTTCCAATCTCGAGCATTTATCCAAAATTCAAACTCAGAGATAACCCATACCACACAGATGAACCCCAGATAATACATTGGTGTTCTCCCATTATTAATCTTTATTCTAAAATTCATCTTTCGCTTCCCCATCTCCTTATGAAATTTCTCAGGTACTTTATTCCCGAAAGAAATATTCTTGTGCTTTCTATCGATTAAATGATTACTTGCACAACTTCAAACCCCAATCTTTCACCTTTTCAAGTTTTTAACACGTTAAATCCTCATTGATTTATTGGTTCCTTTTGAACTCGTCAAAACCTGAAATCTAAAAATAAATTCTAAAATAAAATATTGATTAATAATACCTATCAGTGACTTACTAACGAAATTAAATTTTCATATTCATTATAATAATAATCATGTGATGATGATCATTTCCTTTCTTGCGAGCATGCACCATATGAGATCTCCCAATTCCCCCTGTCATCAATTTACAGAGTTACCACATCGAACGGGCTTTCTCATGGTCGAACGAACAAACAAACAAACAAACAAACAAACAAACAAACAAACAAATAAACGAACAAGCGATTACTCAACAACATAATTAACAAACAACAAAATTAACGAACAACATACAACAACATTCTTGGTTCACAAAATAAATAGCGTTAGTAATATAAAACGTTGAACGATATAAAATAAAATTAACTTCTCTAAATTTTCCCCAAATTATATCCACTTTTACCTTTAATTTCAAACTTCGATAGCTCTCGCTACGAATTATTACTTTTCAAAAACATATATTTAATTCATCTTAAAATTTTCATTTGTTTAATTAAAATTAATTAAGCGAACATTAATTAAAGTTTAGGG